CAGAGTGGGCGGTTTGGATACTAAGCTTTGGGCGGAGAGAGTCGAATTTAACGAGGCACGGGGTTCGATATAGCAGTCTGACAAGAACATTCAATATCAATAAAGCGAAGAAGAGATTGGGCTATCGTCCCCTCTTTAGTATGCATGAGGGGCTGCAGAGGACTGTGAAGTGGTTTGTTGAAAATGAACAGAAAACTAAGTAGTTGTTGATAAGACAATATAGAGCGCCAGAGGTTGTTTTGCTCGTAAATTAATATCTTGTTATGTCTGCTGCCCTTCGTAGTCGCCATTTGTAATTCTCAGGTTAATTCAGATTTCCACATCAGCCTGATTGGGCTCCTCGGCATTGTTGCATCCCCTTCGGCATACCTTCTTCCCCTCGCTCCCACTTTGCGAACCTGACCGATTTGTCAAACGCATTGATCTGGACCATCGCGGTCTATTTAATGTGCGTGGACTCCAACCTAACGGGAGGACTAAGTAAACTCGTCGGCTCAGTCAAAGCACCACAAGCAGAATAGATATCACAATGTCGAAGCGCCTTTTAAACAAAGTTGCTGTTATCACCGGCTCCTCATCCGGGCTGGGCCGCGCCATTGCAACCCTGTATTCGCAAGAAGGCGCAAAGGTCGTATGTTCCGACTTGGCGCCTTCAGCTCGTGAACTGGTTCCGACAGAAGCTGAGACCAATACCCATGAACTTATCCAGAAATCCGGCGGCGATGCTGTCTTCGTTAAGACAGATGTTAGTCAGGCGAAAGATATGGAGGCTCTCATTCAAGCGGCTGTGGACAAATTCGGCCGGCTGGACATGTGAGACTTACCTCTTCGATGAAGCTGCGTCTAACATATTTAGATTAGTTAATAATGCTGGTGTTGCGTTAGAGGCTCGCCGACCAGGTCCATGCCATCTGACTGACGAGGAAATGTGGGACACGACGATGAATGTCAACGCCAAGTCGGTCTTCCTGGGCTGCAAGTACGGGACGAAACAGATGCTAAAGCAACAGCCGCACCTATCAGGCGATCGTGGTTGGATTATCAATATGTCCTCGATAATGGGAATTATAGCCTCTAATGATCATCGCAAGTATTGCTCGTTGTATTTATATCATGCGGTCTAACAATGGACTCAGCCTCATACTGCGCGTCGAAGGGAGCGGTCAGTAACTTGACGCGACAAGTGGCAATGGATTACGCAAAATATAGGATTCATGTTAATGCTCTTTGTCCTGGATGTAAGTCAAGAGAACTTCTCCTACAAGAAGCCAGAAACTGTGACGGTCTAACTACCCAGCAGACACACAAACCGCCATTTTTGCTGAGACTACGAGCCACATGACGCCATTTGAAGTCTTGCAACGCCGCCACCCATTCAATGGCCCGGGATTCCCAAGCGACATTGCGAAGATGGCCGTTGTCCTCGCCAGTGATGATGTTAGCTGGGTTACGGGAGTATGTCTGCCTGTGGATGGGGGATACACAGCTCGATAGATGCTGCATCTACCATAAGCCTAGATGAGATAGTATGCACAGCGCATAAATCCACGCAATTATACACGCCTATAAGAGCCTTCGTTAAACCACACAGTTAAATCTGTATAATCACTGTACTGTACATACTGTAGGAGCGATATTTGTATCATTTTATCCCCATAACCCCACTTCATCTCAAACCTGGAGCAGTTAGCGTAGCCGAGGATCGCGGGGTGACTTGGTAGACTTGCCAATATCCGCCTAATCTGGCTGGCGCGGATTTAGGGGCTATGTGGCGTAGGATGGCACTTTGCCGAACGATTGTCTTTGCCTTGTAATTTCTCTTAGACGAATTTGCCTGCCTTCTCCCCGGTCCGCTACCTGGGCGGGCCACTTAGTCAAAATGCAGAAAGAAATCACGCTTTCAATTGAAGGTGGGCTTTATTCACGCCTTGATAAAGCTGCGGACGAGATAAGGCTGGTTACCATCGGGCTTTGCCTGCCTGGGCTTCCCTTACAGTGCAAACTCGAGAAGGTTTCGTTGAAAGACGTTAAACCCAGCTATGCTTCGTTTGTGCTCTCCAATGGCCTGGCTGCGCAAACCCCGCGCCAAGCCAAAGAAAGATGGGCTGTATCACCCCGTGGTGCTCGACCTGATACTCCGCCCAAAGGGGCGAATCAATTTTTCGGAAGTGTCCCGGCCCCAAATCACTACCGCTTCAAGTGGGGAGACTTCGCTGCTCTGTCGTACGTCTGGGGGGATGAATCAATACGTAGAGATATCATTTTGAATGGCAAGGTGGTATCGATCACTGCAAACCTCGAGGGTGCTTTGCGAGAGCTAGCAGGCGACGATGCTTTCGGGAGTCGCTACAAGCTCTGGATCGATGCAATATGTATTAACCAAGTCGACGACCAAGAAAGGGCCCATCAAGTCCAGAAAATGAGAGAGATCTACAGCGGTGCCTGGGCCGTGATCGCATGGGTCGGATGGAGTCGCCCCAGTGCCGACATCAACCACGCTTTTCAGTTCCTCCGGATCCTCGCCTCTCTACAGGGAGACCAACGAAACCTTGGTAAATTGCAGGCCGAAAGCGGAGAGCCCTCCAGGGGAACATATTTCTGCGCCCTCAATGAGCTGATGAGACAGGAATACTGGTTTCGACTTTGGGTTATCCAAGAGCTCATCATGGGGGCATCTTCCACAGTCCTCCGCTATGGGAATCACGTCATCGACTGGAGTACGTTTTGCAAGGGAATTAGTGTCCTGTATCATGGATCCAACTGGACCATTAAAGACCTAGAGCTACGGCGGGAGCTTAAGTTCAGGGGTATCGGCGAGAATGTAGCGTGGCAGACCCACAGTATTCACCTTGTCCATATGGACCTCCGCCCGTTGAGTCGTTTCGATGAGGAAGGAACAAACCGAGTCGGCTTCCGTCGTCTTCTTGATATTTCGAATTCCGCTGACTGTCGCGATGTGCGCGATAAAGTCTTTGCATTGGTAGGGATGATGAACTCCGTTGTCTCAGCAGACATAATGAAAGCTTACGAATTCGAACCCCCAAGGCTCTTTGCTGCCGTTGCCCGAGCGTTTATTACCCACACAAACACCCTGGAGCCACTACGCCACGGAAACCCTTGGGGTCGTGGACTTGGGACGGGCGTATACGATTCTCTCGTCCGGAATACAACCTTGTTGCACCGCACTGGGACCCCTTAGATCCAGAACCAGACCCCGACACTATTTACTGCGCCCATGGCGGGATGCCAGCATCCTACACGTTTTTAAATGACTGGACACTACTTGAATGTAAAGGATTCATATTTGACGAAGTTGTCGGACTAGGTGCCCCTGAGGCGGGTTACTTCAAGTGGGACAAGCAACGAATTATCCAATGCCCTTCTTGGAGAAGTGCATATGGGGATTCAAAGGCAACAAGTTCGGCTCTCTGGCATACTCTGCTGCTCTCCATCGTAGCCAAGGGTGAACGTGCCCAGCAGTGTCACTCCGCACTCTTAAGTCTCCCTTCCTCGTTTTTGGCAGCCTTGCCACAATTTCAATCAAAAGGATGGGACTGGCTGGTGGGGCAAAGAGGATACTACTTTAAGTGGGAGAAATGGCGATCTGCACATGACTACTTTATGCTCGGGGAGGAGCGACTGAGGAGCTTCTTCACAGATATCATCCCACAGGATGCCGAGGAGCTCACATACACGGAAGTCTACCGTAGTTCCCAGAGGGCCGTGCAGCAACGAAGATTCATGCTGACGAAGAATGGTTATTTCGGATGGGGCCCTGACAACATGTTCGAAACCGATCAGTCAAAAGAACTTAGGGTCGGCGATAAGATCGCCATTTTGTTTGGCTGCAGCACGCCTCTTGTTATTCGACCAGCGGGTGACAAGTTCGAGGTCGTGGGTGAAGCGTACGTGCAGGGCTTCATGGACGGAGAAGCACTCGTTCTTATGGAGTCAGGGGCTTGTTACATACAACCTTTCATATTTCGTTAACAACAATTCAGAGTTACGAGTATGTTCTACTTTGGCGATACACATAACCACACGCTCAGCACAGGTTTTATTTTGTAAGATAAAATACGCTGTAATTAACTTAAGTTACTGCCCTCTAGTACTAAGTAACTAGGGACCTTTGATCGCTTGATTGGGGGTACTAGCCTATGTGGCAACGTCGTAACACAGTACTCTCTTGGTACTATAGGGCTAACAAAAACTTCTTAGCATTGTGACGAGACTTGGACATCTAGATCCTACCCTTCTATGAGTTTGAAGGGCGAAAAGAGCTTGATAGTGGCACTGTGGGTTCAGTGGTCTTTTTATACTATGAAAAGAGGCTCTTCGTAAATTATAGGAGCGGCGACGACGCGATTGCAATTTTTGGAGTAAGCGGGCTAGGAGTGTTCGGGAGGGGACAAACAAGATAACTAACATAAAACTATGAGAAATATCAATGCGTTTTACGGAATCAGAGCTGCTTAAATTTAAAGTACCTATATTTGGTCTTGTTACGGAGTACGTCTCTCGACGTAGGGACAGACGTCATTAAAGATGTCAAAGACACATTTCAGAAAGAGTATAGTTGTTCGACAACAATTGTCTCAGAGTAGTAACAGTGTGGTTGTTTTCTTTTTGGTCCTCAAAGTATGCCTATATTCATAACGACCCACATATCGATTCTCTTTTCCCGGCCCTTCGCCTTTGCAAATAGAAGAGAATGAGACTGATAATCTTCATAAGAGCTATGAATTGACTAAATGAGGTAAAGTAAAACATAATATTATGCCGATTTCCTCCTAAACAAATGAGAGGAGCGTAATCAGATAACCCCCTGCTAGTTGTGGCAAGCGACTGCTTGTGGTCACGTAGTGATGTCACGCATTAACCGCCAAAAGTAGTCCTAAAGCCCCTAATTTCTAGCGATTCTTCGCAACGATCCACTAATATCATTTTACTTTTATTCGCTTATAGGAAAAAATAAGCAATTCCAGGATAACAATCATGAAGGCACGGTGGCTGAGTGGTTAAAGCGATTGACTAGAAATCAATTTCCTTCGGGAGCGTAGGTTCGAATCCTGCCCGTGTCGAAGTATTTCAATTTTTTTTTTCCGGATCTTAATATATTTTATTAACTGGAAATACACTTACAATTCTCTAAAGGAAGAGTAGATTATTAGTAACTATTCGCTTAAGACATGAACTCTGTATCCTAGCCGAGCTAACATGTCTTCTTTTTTTTAGACGAGACTTATGTGCACCTTGCATTGGCTAAGTTAGAAAATGATTTAGTAGTGGCAAAGCAACTGTGAGGCATCTTGTCAGATATTACGTGTATTAAGGGAAAGGGCAACCCTTTCTAGTTATATTACATGTGGATCCACCTAGAAGAGTCTCCTTAGTCACATGCCCGGTGGCCTAAGGCACCACAATTTGTTGGGATGGACGAACAGCGGACTGGAATATCGTGTCGATCTGGCTCCATGTGAAAGATACACTGTTATCAACAGGTATCGTTGTCATTCCTCTTTTGCAGTCCTCCGAAACGCAATACCGACTAGGTGTAATATATATCCCTGGTTGATGTATTGACCATCAAGGGCTTAAATCAGGATTATTAACAATTTTCTTGCACCTTGTATACTTAAGTATAAATATATAGTTATCAAAAGTGCTATACTATAAGTCCTAGTATAATAAATAGACGTTTTGAAGCATATACTGTTGGCGGATTAAGATGCAGTACAAGATCCATCTAAGGGGCTCGGGTTCTGTAGAAGGAATTAGAACCGCAGTTTCTTGTAAAGCCTTAATAACATCAGTAAACGAATCAATTAGGCGACGGAAGAGGATATAGAATTGTCCCTGGAACCACTCAAAAAGTTCTGACAGCATGTCTATAGGAATTTGCCAGACTATCGAGGAATTTTTGTCTAGATCAAGTAGTGCTCTATAAGCTGGTTCTATTAATTGTTGCAGGAACACATTACTGTAAGGCTTAGCAAAAAGGAAGGTCGACCAGGCTAGACCAGGCTCCTGCCTCAGCTTCTTACGCTTGGTCACTGCATTCGTCAAAGAGAGTTGTGTCGGGAATTTGCTTCTTCTTTATCAGTATCTGCTTAAAGACCCTGAGCTCTATTTACTGAGAAACATTTGGTATATACCTGTACTACTTCCTCTAAAGGAAGTGACCCTCTATAAAAGGCACTGTATTATTGACTATAAGTATAGTAGCTTGTATAATTATCTCTTGTTGTTTAGTGATAAAACTACTATGTTTTTAATAAAATATATAGTATAGTTTCGTATACAAGGACAAGCTTAAGACCCTTATATTCTCCCTATAAGATCGCCATATCAATATCATATATCTATTAAAACCGTATCTAGGCTTTAACACTATAAATTATCTCGACTTTTTCCTAGGATGACTCGCTAATATCCTGTATAAATCGTTCATGATAAAGCAGCACTTGAGCAGGGTGCTTTTCGATTCCCTTGGAATTAATATCTCTTCTATAGATATGATTATATATAAGCATATCAGAGGTGTATACGTTTCCCATGACTATAGCGATACAGCCATTAGTTTGATCCGCTATCTCGCTATTTTCTGGATTTGCTGTTGTCCAAGACGGTTGGTTTAGGCGATGGGCTAAAGGAGACTGTAAGGAGCCTGATGGTTTAACGAGGTATTTGCCGTCTTGGCCTATATCTTTGCCCCAGGTATAGGGCTCCTCTGCCCGGAATCTTTCGAAAGAAGAGGCTAGATCCGTTATTGGCCGAGGGATTGGCGGGATTGGAAAAAGAGGAAGGGTTGGAGGACTGATGGGGAGGATGGTGGGGTAAATTGTCAATTAGGTTGGCAGTGGTACCCTGGTGTAGCCACCATTGTCGGAAATGGACCCCGCTAAAATATTTAACTAAAAAACTCGCGACGCCCAATTCGCTTCTACTGTAGTGAGTTCAGATTAGATTGCGAGTCAAGTACTAGATTCAGTGAAAAATACACTGTAAAGTAGTGGGCATGCGTTGCAAATTTAGTACGTCTTCAATAACTAAATTTAGTAGATTTTCTTTTTGCAGAGATGAGAATTTGTTGATGGCCCTCGACCAGTAAGGAATGCTGGCTAGCTCGCCCTGCCTTGATTTCTGGTCGCTGCTTGCATTGCAATTTTAGTTTAGACCAAGACGAGTAATCCCGCCATGCACCGCAACTCCAAGGCAGACGGTGCACTGCAATTTTAGTGTAGATGAAGACGAGTGATCCCGCACGGCAATTTGAAGGGCAGACGGGAGGACGAAAACTACCTCCGGGCGTACGCTGCATGGAGAGGACAGCACTGTTCGCCGAATCCGTTCACCGACTCGACACCACCAGACTGTCTGTCCGCCTAAGGCAGAAGCGAAGCCCTTGTACGCACTAAAAATGCAGTGCAAGGTGCGTCAATTTGAAGACGTACGACAGCCCAGTTCCCGATATAGCTAAATCTGCGAGCCCAGCCAGGAAACGTGCCGAAAAATCCAAACTTCTGTGACTCCAACACCTGAGCCTGGAGTGATCCATTTTCTTCGAGAAACCGTTGTTTTTTTTAGCCAATGATTGCGCCACGAAATTGAGCAGGAGGTTGGCTGGTGTGCAGTTTCTTGGACTTGCGGCGACCCTTGAGACAACATTGGGACCTTTCGAAGGCGGAAATACACTTGAAGTATTGTTGAAGAGCTTTGCAGCCGATACGACCCTTTTGCCAACAGCAAGGCAGTTGAAGGACTTATTAGCAAGCCTGGAGGCTAGATGCCAACTATGCGGATTCGCAGATACTGTCGTTGGCTGGTATGTCATGCTTCGTCAATAACCTGCGACATATTTGCTGTAGGGCAAATAGTTCGTGACAGATTCAAGTGTGGGGCGACTTACTTAGCACGCTTAGCGCATTCAGGATCCCTCTAGCCACTGGATTAGTATCATAAAGAGAATAGGGCACTTAATGTCCATCCCAGCAAGCGAAAGACCCTACTCACGAAAGATTCACCTCCAAAATCAATCGTCATCCTTCACATTCCGATATTTAAGCCTGAAAGGTAGATCAGTGTGGCTTAAGGCATCTGTTTTCACTTACTTACTCATAGATTCCTAAGGTCGCGCCATTACTCTCCAATACCACTTCGAATGCTCGCGCATTTTGATTGCGCTTGGTCGGATCCGGTGCAATAGAGTCAAATATGTCTTGGATAGAACAAAAACCTATACAAATCACGCGAGCTCTAAAGAGGAACCGTTTCTCTTCAGAAAATTATATAATCTGGGTCTATTGTGGCCTCGCGGAGATTTTACATCGTAGAAGACTGGCTGATCGAATTAGGGTTCCAACTGACGATCGTACAGAAAGGCTGTGGAAATACTAGCACAAGACTGAAGCCCAGTAATTACGTGCACGTTTTCGAAGCAATACAACCTGGATCAGGCATTCATGATTACAGTAGAACCTCGCTATAAGAATACCACCACTGAGACCCCGAAATCATAAGAATATAGCCAGGTATTCTTATATAGAGGTCTTTTTTGGCCTGTTTAAAAAGATTAGGACCCAAGAATGTATTCTTATTGGCCAGGTATTCTTTTGCAGAGTATTCTTATATAGGGGTTCTACTGTAGCGTGCTAGATACTCGAGACCCGTCGAGACACGTGCACGCTATGATCAATCAACAACCAGCAGCTAGTAAACGCCAATCGCGCAATATATCGGGCATCAACATTGAGAACGAAGGCATGTGATGTTAGGCGCCACGGAGTCGCAGCTCTGCTCAGTTGGCTGTTATCTCCATATAGCAAATATATCACCGGAACAGTGCAGGGCATGGCCGGTGGTTGGTGACTGGTGGCTGGAATTGCTAGAAAGATCGCAAAAGATTGTTATCGATCTTGATTCGTCACATCATTTGCCCTGCCTGTTTATGATATGAGTGATGAGCACATCGCGTGTGGTGTGAGAGTCAGACTTCCTCTTCACGGCAGCTTTCAGACATCATTCGATTCTCAAGATTCCCAAACGATTAGCACGGCGGTGACTCCACTGTGAGGTCCTTGATAAATGCCAGGACAGGTTTATTTTCGATCGTGAGAACACATAAGAAAGTGCCGCAGACTTGTCCAAAATTTATTGAGTTTGTTCTCTACAGCTGACCCCTTATATAGCCAAAACGTCGTGCTCTTTACATATGTGTTGAGAAGAAGGGGTATCATATAATAGGAAAATATGGGAACGGCTCCCATGCTGCGTCAAGTAACCAATCTGGCAACCATCCTGCACCAACACGCTCATACACCAGCTTGGATCCGGAAACGGGCCTGACCGCCAATACATAATTTCGCGCTCCTAAATCACCACCGAGTCTTAATGTGCCAATGAGAATGAAAGTCTTTATTGGCTCCGTTGCCGTGTTCGGGTCATCGAAGGTGATGTATACTTCATTTTGAGCTCGCTCCACTCGTGATCTGGATTTCTTATTGACCTCAGCAATCTTCTCAACATCATGGTCTGTCAATGTGAGAATACGAGACTTCAGCTCAAGTTTCTCTTTCGTGTAGAGCCACATCGTGCTCGGATCTCCAGTAAGTGTCAAACGAATCCGGTCATTCCAGATGATTTGTGAGCTTGGAGGGATTATGTAGGTAATCGCCCCAATGTAAGACATGAATGACCACGAAGGAGGCCTGTTGATTGTAATGGTATCGGGAAACTGGACGCGGACCAAGGATTCCACGCCTTCCGCTCGCTCCCACAGAAGCCATCTTCCTTGATGTTGTTGAAAAATGCCAGCGCCGCTCCGCTTACCGAAGGATCTTGTAAGTCGTAGCTCCATACCGGATATAGCGGTGGATTTGTCAGTGTAGTGAGTGAATTTCAGAGCAGAGTACTGCTCATATAGAGCAGTGATCAGGTACAGCTGTGCGCTGAACTTGTGGCTCATGCCAAAGTCAGGAAAATTCGAATCGCCCAGAAAGGCAGCGCGGTTCGATGGGAGGCCCTTTCGAATTCGAGTGCGAACACTCCCGGTATTATGCAGATAATTGAGCGCATCTGCAAG